TCTTTCCAATAGCATCAAGCTAAAGTCTATACTCAAACTTTTCATTCACATGGTACAAAATAGTGTTTTAATGGACATTTGTTCATTACTCAAATACTTTTAAAAGAAGACTTCACATTTATATTGTTTTCCATAAAGTTCATCTTTTTATAAACTCATAATGACTGCAAGATGTTTTTCTCACTAAAACATTAAAAGGCATATGAAAGAGTGACACAGTTCTCTGCGTGCACTTGAACCCTCACTTGTTGATCCACAGCTAATTATTTTTTTAGTCTTTCTGAAAATGTTTAGGCATGAAAGATTTTGTGGTTTTGTCTTGTTTTGTTTTTAATTTATTTTAATGGATCTTATGAGTAACTCCACCGATAAGATAACTTGGCAGAGGCCTCTTCATTTTCCAAAAACTCTCCTAACTTCAGTCACCTCTGAAGAGACAAAACAGTAAAAAGTACAGAAAGATATAGGTTGTTCTTTCGTTCCTGTAAGTAATTAAGTCATTAGAGCAGCTTGAACAGCTCGAAGTCTACTTAACCCAGTGAAAAGTCTTGCACTAATTTGGACACACTGACACTGGACCGAGCCCAAGACTAATGAGTTTTATTTAATGAAGTTGGATGTAGGCATGCAGTCACAGAAGTCGGTGCCGACAAGCTGTTCTCTGCTATCACATCAAGCCATAAGCAGTGCTTCACCTTTCCTGCTTTATTTAGTCTCCAGGTTTTCAACAACCAGTTTATAAAACACATCTATTGGGAATATGACAATTGACTTACAGTAGGTCCTGGCGGCCCAACTCTTCCAGCAGACCCTGGGAATCCAGTAGCACCCTAAAAAACATTTTTAATCCCAACTTTATTGAAAAAAATACAACACTGGTATCATATGCTCTCAGCTGAATTAGTGAGCAAATGTTAGAGACTGTGAAAAACGAGCTGAGGAATGATGCACACATTACATAAAATTTCACTATTAGATTATCTGCAGTCAGGTCACAAAAAATAATCTACTTACAGGTGGACCCTGAGTTCCTCTACCACCTTTCAGACCAGGAACACCTGGAGGACCCTAAGAGGAAAGGAGAAAAAGAAGGGTGATAGCAAACATCCAGGACATTTTAAATAAGCAAGATCAGCCTATGCCACTGGTTCTCTGACAACATTACTTATACTTACTGGTGGACCGGGAGACCCAGCGAGACCCTGTGGTCCTGGAGATCCAGCATCTCCTTTCTGTCCAGGTTCTCCAGGTTCACCTTTCACACCTGGCTGACCATCAGGGCCCTATAAGAAACAATATTGAGAAGAGACATCAGGTCAGAGAACACCAAATCTTTATAGCCTAACAGTCATTTCTCGAAGGCAAAAAATAACAGAACAAGTCAGCCCAGAAAACAGTGCATTTGCTCAATGGTTCAAGAGAACAACAGCAGTTCATCACAGTCTTTAGAAGATCACAGATGGGATTTTCTTAAGTCCGTGAACTTGGAATTTCCATTTAAAATATTTCTTGTCTAGCTCACATTTTTCTTTCCTTTAGATTTTCTATTTTCCTCAGCAGCTATTACATACTGAAAAGCAAAAGGGACCAAACAAACATTGTCTTTTCTAGTCTTCTTTTTCCCCACCAAGGGTAGCAGGTGCCTGACTCTTTGTGAAAAGTCTGAAACACAATATTTAGGCTGTGGGAAAGTTTGGAGTATTCACTGGAAAACTCACAAAACTTCCACTTGGTCCATCAATTCATTCCAGCCTTTGCTACTCATGGAGCAAATCTCTGCTACCTTCAGGAGATGACACTTTGTAGCTTGCCTCATTTTAATCTCAAAGGAGCAACATAGCACATTCATGAAATATGAAATGTGGTGAACAATTACATAATCTTATCAACAAAATCACTTTTCAACTGCCTAGGGATTTTATTGGCCCTTTTCTTTACTTGATATTCTGATGGGAAAAATAAACAGCTCTCTCTGCAAAAAAAGTGACTCACATTCCAGAACCTGCAGTATTATTCATAATGAAGGAAACCAAGCAAGTCAAAGAATGACTAAAGGAACTCATTACTGTTACAAAACACATACCGGCGGACCAGCAAAACCAACAGCGCCAGTTGGGCCATTTTCTCCTCGGGAACCCTGGTCAAAAAATTTAGAATAACTGTATTTAACATCAAAGACTTTCTATATACAGTATAATTTGCAGTTAAATAGACAAGAAAGGATGTTAACTATTTACTGTCATAAGTGTGATTATACTTTTGCTCTATTAATCAGAATCAAATGATCTTTTAATCACAAAATAAACTATGTTAACTATGATGTTATGATCTGTTATATGTTCAAGACTACATGTAAACTTTCAGAATTTAGAGATGGAAGGTGTGTGAAAGCACTAAAACGGCAATAGGAGAAATTCTGCTCACAATCACTTCCAGTGATAGCAGGATTAGTTGAAGTGCACACACTTTATGCAACCTACAACTCCAATCAGGTAGACTTGGAAAAAAAAGAACAGTTCAAAGATGTATTCTTGTACAAGGTAAGAACGGGCTATGAGCTGCTTCAGCTGAGCTTTCCATGCAACTTTTGTTTGGAAAAGGAGGAGCTGAAGGCTGCCAAGCTCCAGTACTCCCCAGAGGGGTGGAAGCTATTCCAATTTACACTGGAAATAAGGCTGTTCTGATTTATGACAGAAACAAACAAATTCCAACTAGTATGAAGGGTCTAGAAGGGCTGAGCCTGTAACTCCCTAATCAAAATCACAAACAGACAGAAGATGATAAGAGTTAGCATAATTAGATCTAAATATTTGTAAGTGTACAGTAGTAGCTGGTATGGGCACGCTTTTAGAAAGATTTAAACAATTAAAAGTGGTAGCATACTTTCAGGAGTGAGGTAAATGAGGGTAACTCTATGTAAAGTTTGCCTTAAAACAAGAATAGGACAGAGGAACAAAATCTACCAAGAGTTTTGCAAGTGCACAGCACCAAGACAGGAACTAGAGATTTTGACTACAAAGAAAGGGGAAGAAAAACAGGAAAATATATCAGCAAATAAGACAAAACCTGGAGTTGGATCAGTGTTAGATATTGTTAACTTCTGGAAGGCAAAAACCAAACATGTTTACTCACAGGGTTTCCACGGGAGCCAGGAGGACCAACTAAACCTCGAGGACCTGGTTCGCCCTTAAAATAAAATTCAAGGTTATTTCCCAAGTAACTTACTTAACAAGTACCAAAAGTATACAACAGTAATAAGGAACTTCAGGCATAAAAATCTCCTTACCTTTTCACCAGTGGGACCTGCTGGACCCATTGGACCTATTGGACCAGGGAGACCCTTTTGAACAAATTAAAATAAAAAGAAGTTAAAAAAGTGATGCTTCAAAATGGTTCACTTTAAACTTCTCATATGTTACTATTTCCATATGCTTTTGCATTCCTTTAGTTCTTCATTATCTCTGAAATCTTGTTGGGTCTTTTTATTCTTTATTAATTTCCTGACATTTACTTGCTTTTCTTCTCACAGTGACCAAAATCCCCTATCTCAAAAGCCTTGCTTTTTTTCATTCTCTCTTTCTTCACTAACTTTATTTTCTAATTTATGCTGCATTTATGAATAAGGCCAATGATAAAAAAGCCCTGGCTTTATTTTATTCTATCAGGAGGAAATTACACTCTTCCCCCCCCCCCCCACCTTGCACATAAGTTGTCTCTTTGTTTTATGCTAGTATTTCATTGTTCAGATTGATTTTAATATGTCCATCATTACTTTTGAAGATCCTTTTTCAAAAGCATCCTTTTTCTCTTCATAAAGCAGTTCGGCAAACAGGTTCCAATCTATCCATCCAAAACCATCAACTGCACATAACGATCCTGCAGCACTATTCCTATTAGCTTCTTCAATGTTTAGACATCCCAGTTATGATTCTCTTTCACTATAAGCAAAGTACCACAAACCGAATTTATCTCAAACAAAATTCCCCCTACCTCAAAAATCTGTACTGTAACTTATTTCGGACTGAAGAGAATTACAAAAAAGATGGCATTAATGAAAGAAACTGCATCACCACCAACACTCTAGTGATAGGTAGTAGCAGAGATATCTGCAGATACCTAGCTTTAGAAGAAGGCTGTAGGTTTAGTTCACTATTATTTTATCAGTTCATGAATTAGTGTAAGGTATAAAGTTGTCTTACCATGATTAAGAACTGTTCTGTATCTGTGGATACTATCTGACTCACAAACAAATTCCATCTCACAGCTGCTAATTGTGAGTTAGTGCTTCTGTATGCTAGGGTTTCTACAAAAAACTTCTCTTCTTTAACTAGAAATTTAGTCCAGTCAGAATCCTCATCTTTCCTATGTATCTCAGATTTCCAAATGCCTAGCAGTTAGTACTCCAACTGGTTTGCAAAACCCAAGAATCTCAGATAGAAGCAATTTATGCAAAAACTAACTCCAAGAGCTTCTGGGAAGAAAATATAGCCAGTGCATATACAGGACACCCAGTACATTTGGGATTATTGGACAGCCGGTCTATGCAGAACATGCATGCAACATGTCTTGAACATAATGGATTTACTTCATATGAGCAGACTAGCTGTGTTCTTTATGCATGTAGGTTTAAAGCTTTCCAGAAGTGTCAGCAACTTACTGTCCATATGGGGCTCAGTCCATTTAACAGAGTTTTTGTCCGTGAAACTCAGGACAGACCATGAGCAACTCAATCCAAACAATAAAGAGGCATCTGCCTTAGTCCAAGAGTTAGAACTCGTGGATTTGCTTTTTGGCTACTGATCTCTACCTATCTTTTTTTTTTTTTTTCTTCCATATTTTTACTACAGTTAGCTTAGCTGAACGCCAAATCAACAAGATACCTCTGTGAATCCTTTCCATTGACATCTTAACTCCCATTATTGATTATACAAAATACAGGCTTAGAACACAGATATCCCAAAAACATTGGGCATAGCAGTCTTGAAAAACTTGAAGAACAAATTTGGAAGGTAGGGGAATGAGAATGACTGTCAACCCATGATATCCCCAAGCTGAATAGTGTTTAACTCTATGAGCTGAGTACTTCTAACACAATAAACAACCTGGTGTGTGGAGAGTAGGTCTAAAAAGAGTGATAGATGTACTTACTCTTGCCCCATCATTGCCAGCCGTACCTTCAGCACCTTTCTCACCTACACCGCCCTATGGAAAATACCCAGAAAGTCTCAGTTATGACACTCAATGCTGAGTAGTTCACACCCTGGAACAGTTACAGTGTTGAGATAGGTGATTCTACCCAGCACAATGGAAATAACCAGACTTACTCTATCGCCCTTGGGGCCAGGTGTTCCAGCGATCCCTCTTTCTCCAGGCATACCTTGGAGACCCGGTGGGCCTGGGTCACCAGGTGTCCCACTAGGGCCTGGGCTTCCCTGAAACAAATACAGGAAAAGTTGTTGTCTATTCATCTGAGAAGTATCTTTGTCTTCAGGATGCAGAACACGCCGTGCCTGTGTTGAAGTCTCTGGGGTACCGTTTTAAGTAATAATTTTGTCTTAAATTTGGATTTTATTCATGTCCAAATACTTTTCTTTTCCCACTGTATTACTCAGGAAGTTCAGCTGTAATACCATAGTCTTTCCAATTATATTAGTATTTACTCAGTGCATACTGGGGATGAAAACAGGCAAAAAAAGAAGCTCGAGCATCTTTCTAACGTGATCTTGATGCCACATCGGTCTGTTACACAAAATAGCTACAGGTACAAGTTGCCGGGGGCAGAGATGCTTTATTTAGACTTTGCTTCTCACAGTTCATGTCTATGAAAGGTCCCGCATTCCTGGAGGCACTCTCTACCTGGGTGACCTTCCTAGGCCCAATTATATCAATTGCAGTTGGAAGAAAGGCATGCAGTTTTCAGTGTTTTCTTTTAAACACTCAACTCTGCCAAGTCTCTTTGTGTAAACTGACACGGTTCTTAAAACTAAGCCATTGCCACACAGTTTTCTGCAGTTCAGAAATGGCTTTGCCCTGTTCTACTGAGAAACACAAAAACCCATTTTAAACTTCAGACCTATACAAATTAATAAAAAATGTGATTTCTAAACATTTTAGTATCTTGCAAGTTATTGTTATACCGGAATAATTTCTATGTCTGCCTAAAACTCTTATATAAACAATATACTTTGCATGAAAATATATCCCTTTTATAATAAAAAAGCGCTCTCTTCTGTGTTCATGCAAATGTGCAGAATTACACACTACATCACTGCAGCAACACAAACCTCCATTCAGCTTACCTTTGGACCATCAGGACCATGACCTCCAGCCATACCCTTTTCACCTGGGAGTCCTGATGCACCTGGTTCCCCCCTTTCCCCTGGATTGCCACGTTCTCCCTACAAAATGGAAAATTATTACTTAGAAGTCAGGGTACAGGTTCTGGTAGACTAAATTTTAAATACACTGTAAGTGCAGCATGCCTATTTGAACAAAGAGCCTGTGAACAAATTCTAGGAGAAGTGATCAAATAAAGAACAGCTTTATGCTTTTATTGTTAAAGGTAGGGAACATAGCATATGGCTCAGCAAACTAAAACTTGTCATTTCACAGTGGCAAACCAAATCACTTAGCAGTTAGTACTCAACACCATTTCATGAGCTATGAAACCATTAAAGGTGGTTGGTTTTACAGAAACCATCTTAAAATATATCCATCTTTACAAACATTTTGTTGGTGGGGGAAAAAAGTCAAATATTCACTTTAGCTGTTAAAGTCTGTATTATATACCAACTTTAAACCCCAGAGAACTCTTATGAATGTTTAAAGTCTGAAAGAAAACACCTACCCTAGGGCCCAACGGACCAACAGCTCCAGGGTCTCCAGGCACACCCTAAGGAGAACAGAACTCACCATCAGAATGAAAGCATTATTCATAATCTTAGAGTTCTGGAAATTAGAGATAAACATTTTCATTTCCAAAGTACTGTGAATGTAGATGGCTAGTTCTGAATATTATCTGCCCATGACAAGAGGAGATAGTCCAACTCAGTCATATTCTAGTTAATTATTCTATCGAAAAGCAGTTCTCAGACAGCTTGCAGACTACATCAATACATATTTTAAAACAGATTTGGAAATTAAATTACAAAGAGAAGAAAAGGTAAAACAACTCAATGACTTTTTTTTTTGCCTCAGTCTTCACCAGCAAGAGCTCAAGCCACACTGCCTGAGATGCAAAAGGCAAAGGCAGGGACTGGGAAAATGAAGAACCGCCAGCTGTAGAAGATTGGTTCAAGAGCACCTAAGGAACGTGAAGGTGCACGAGTCCATGGGACCTGATGAGATACATCCGTGGGTCCTGAGGGAACTGGCAGATCAAGTTGCAAAACCACTATCCATCATATCTGAGAAGTTGTGTCAGTCTAGTAAAGTTCCTTCTGACTGGAAAAGGGGAAACATAACCCCCATTTTTAAAAAGGGAAATAAGGACAACCTGGAGCACCACAGGCCAGTCAGTCTCACTTATGTGCCCAGCAAGATCATGGAGCAAATCCTCTTGGAAACTATGCTAAGGCACATGGAAAACAAGGAGGTGACTGGTGACAGTCAAGATGGCTTCACTAAGGGCAAAACTGGGCCTGATGAATTTCATGGCCTTCTATGACAGGGTCACAGCATTGGTGGATAAGGGAAGAGCAACTGACATCATCTACCTGGATTTGCGCACAGCATTTGACACCGTCCTGCATGACTTCCTTGTCTCTAAATTGGAGAGACAGGGATCTGACAGAAGGACCATGCTGTGCATAAGGAATTGGCTGGATGGTCACACTCAGGGAGTTGTGGTCAACGGTTCAGTGTCCAAGTGGAGACTGGTGAGGTGTTCCAGGCCAGGCTGGATGAGGCTTTGAGCAACCTGGTCTAGTGGAAGGTGTCCCTGCCCTGGCAGGCAGGTTGGAACTCGATGAACTTTAGAGGTCCCTTCCAACCCAAACGAGTCTATGATTCTAAAACTACTTTATGAAGTGAATACTTGTTAAATTACACAGAAATTACCTGATCACCTGGCTTTCCTCCCTCACCTGGAGGACCTGGTGGTCCTGGCAAGCCCTGTAAAAAAGTAAATAAAATGGTCACTACCATCATTGAAAGTTACGTAAATCCAGAGTCAATTAACACACCAAGAATACAAATGTAGTACTATGCTCAGTACAAGAGTATATCCTCAGAGATCTCAAAGTGAAATAGTTACGTGAATATTGCACTGAAGCACTTTCCCCTCTCTAAAGGAAATCACAGCCCTTCTTTGGCATTTGCAGGACACACGTATATCAGCCCTAAAAATAAAGCTCTCTGTAAACAGAGATTGACTTAACTTAACTAAAACTTCATTATCTAAGCAATTCTATTGCTCCGTATTCGGAACATCTTTAGAAAAATCTCCAAATTCAAACAGAAAAACAACAAAGGTTTTTCTCAAGGGATACAGAGCTGGTATTTAAGCCTTTGCCAATTCAGTTTAGCACACAGCTGATGTGAAAAGCTAAGTATTGGTAATTACTCTGAGCATTATTGCCTTAGTTATGAATTTGTGTTTTGTTAAACATCACTTGGTTGAATTTCTCCTATTTAAGTTGATAAAGACCTGGCTGTTAATTTTTTTTAATTTTTAAAAAACAAATGCACATACCTGAAACCCTGTAGGACCTGGAGGGCCTTGTTCTCCTCTTTCTCCTGCCAGACCCTACACAAAAGAAAGTAATAAGTATGCAGCAGAGGAACATAGGAAGGCTCCACAATTTTTTTCTCCCTGAATATGCATATTATCAAATATATATTTGATTACTATACATTTTTACTTACCCCAGGCCAAGATATTCCCTACCTAAAAAATGTAATAAAATGTATCTTATTTCTTTAAGATCCCCCTCCCCAAAATTCTATGCTGACAGGAAAACACTCCATTTCATTGAAACCAAGGGAGTTAGGAAAATTAACTATGAGAAAACTTTGCTCCTTGCACTACTTTTGTAATGGTCAGTAAAAAAGAATTAGAGTACTAATGTCTATATTTTTCAATGCAAATCTTCCAATTTTTTTGGTAAATTTATTTCTTTAATTGTTCTTGGAATTTTCTGTTTGGAATCAACAATTGGCATGAAGATAGATAGAAGCAGAAAGAGTAATGGATAGAGCAACAGGCAGGTAGGCAGAGAGGCAAAAGTTGACTTACTGGTGGGCCAACAGGACCAGAAGGACCAACTTCACCATCTTTACCAGGGGCTCCCTAAATGAAAATGACGTAGGCAGAAATCTTGTGTAGTGAACATATATAACAGAAAAACAACATTTTCTGTAATCACTGCAAGTAACAGTCACACTCACCCTCTGCCCTGGAACACCTGCATTGCCTGCTTCTCCAGGCTTTCCAGGATCACCCTAATTTGCAGAAGTAAAAATTACTACTTTTAGATACTGTTTTCATCCATTAAAATACATGCAGATGTTTAAAGTTAAACAAATCTTGGTTATTGGGTGCCATACTCACACTACTACCCTTTGGCCCAGGCAGGCCCATGCTGCCTGGCTGACCTCTGATTCCTATTGAACCTGCTGGACCTGGACGTCCATCTTCTCCAGGAGCACCCTACAGAGAAAAAGCAATGTCCACATAAAATTATAAACATATTTTATTTATATTAACCTGTTTACATCTGGAAAATGTTTGCATATATTAAAAAAGCCATTAACCTTGTTTGGTACTACAGTTATCAGTCAAAATGTCTTTAAAGCAGACATAGCTTTAGCCATACTGCTGGGTTTTACCAAATACTATGCAATTATCATCATTGAGCCATTTTGTACAAATACAAGTTTCTTTAAAAAGGTATTTAGAAAATATATTTAGCTCAAAATGGTTTAAAAATATTGCAGCAGCTGCTAAACAGCAGACACTGCTACACAGACAAAATCAAAGCAACACTATCTGCACTAATTTTGGAGTCGAGAATCTAAAGTGAACACTTAAAAGAGAAGATGAACATTCAGAAATCAAGAAAACTCAAGTTAGTAAAAGTAATTTCAATGAGTTGGGACCTTTGAATTCCTGTTTTTTTACGGAAAGGACTAATTTTTGTGTCACTTACCAAGGGGCCAAGTTTTCCTTCAGGGCCTTGGACACCTGGATTTCCTGTCAAACCCTAAAAGAGGGAATAATACTGGTGTTAAGTCGTGCATGTAATTCCAGAGCAATAGAGAAATGTAAATAAAACCAAAATTACACTCAGTTACCACCACGGTACAGCCACTAAAATATTCTTTACACAAGAACATCTTCTCTGTATCAAAGGTCCTCATGCTTGTCTTCACTTTACAGCTTCATCCCCCACTATCTTTGATCTTCCCTTTTCCTCTTCTCCCTTTTACAACTCTTGAGCTTCTCAGAGGCTCATCTTTATTTCTGTCAACAGTATCCAGTGATCTATATCATATCTTATACTTGCTGCTCCCTTTCTCTCCTTTTGTGATATTCCAAATTCTCCCTAAATATTTTTCATGAAAAAAAATCTCTAGATAACATGCACTGCTCAACAATGTAAGTTATCAACCACCGGTTTAATAAAGGTCTGGCCTTCAATTCATGTTATCTGTGGCAACTATGAGCTTTACAAGCACACTTCCTTCAGTTTCATTAGCTGGTCTCAATCAAGGCTATTTCTCTATTTTCGAAGACAAATGGAACATGCACTTCCCAACACCAGCAGGAAAAGAAACAAGTATTTTGGCCTTTACCCTTTAAGCAGCCCCACTGAAACAAGCCTGTCCTTGTATAACAGCTTTTTAATTCTGCAAAGTCCATTGCTGCCTTTTGAAAATCAAGAATATCACAGTTTATAGCCATGGTTTATAGTGCACTGCTATTAGTTCCTTACCCTTGCACCTGGGAGACCAGGTTCACCAGGACGCCCAGGATCTCCCTGACCTCCTTTAGGACCAGAAGAACCTGCTGGACCACGCTCCCCTTGGGCACCCTAGAAAGACACCAATGGGCTACTAGTTAACGGGTAGCGACAGAAGAAGAAGGTTAAATAAAACAGGTATCTTGTATTAAAGATCTATTTTTTTGCGAACAGAGTTAAAAATCATTAATACTTTTATTATTATTATTTTCTCCCCAAATTATTACTGAAAAGTTGTCTCTTCCATAAAACAAATTTATATAAGGATTTTAGAATCCCTGTATTTTTACCAAAAAGCTAGGAATTTACAGAAACACTAGACAAATACGTATGTGAGCCACTTCCTTGGAAGTGGTACAGCACTTAGGAAAGCCAAAGGCAAATGAGACCATCTGTTCAAGGGAGAAGTCTAGAAAAACTATACCACAAGGAAAAGCAATTCTTCAAATTCTTCAAATATAGAGCAACGGACAAAGCCATACAGTAGTAGAAACAGGTCAACGTCTCTTATCTAGTCATACTTCAGCATGAGGAAGAATTAAGCAAGGGACAAGCAAGGAAAACTGAACATCACAGGAATTGAAAGTGACTTTTCCCAACAAATCCTTTAGTCTCAAAACATTCAGACCCCCCTTTTTGGCATTTGTCAATTCCTTTTGACGCTACTTCCAACAATTTTGAGGATCTGCCCATTTGCCAAGAAGCATAAGCTCTTAATGGAACACTTTATTTCTGTATATCTATATGTATGTACATTTTTAGAAACACCCCCAAAAAAGACAGAAACTTAAATTTCATTTACCTTTGGTCCAGGCAAGCCATCAGAACCTGGAAAACCACGATTACCAGGTGCACCCTAGGAAAAGCCATAAATACAGATTATCATCTTATTTTTTACATAACTTTTTGCAAATAAAGTACTAGATTTATGGCTTGGCGGTCCATTTTATTTCATTACAGCTTTCTTACTTCAATACTTTAAAAGCTTTTTTTTTTTTTTTTAAACCACTTGGAGTGCTAGAAATGTCAATGTTTTATTCATGCATGGTGAACAGCCTCAATGAAAACAAGATTGCGATTTGTACAGGAGTTAAGCAAAAAATCTGCAGATTAGCTCATCATATCTCCATCATTTCTGTTACCATACTATCCTGTACACTGAAATCACAAATGAAAATATCAAGGGTAAAAATAATGCACAGTATGACAGATTTCTTTTCCCCCCAAAAAAATAATTAGAAGTAAGATCTATTCAGGATGTAAAAAACCATCATGCCATATTTTTACATCCTGATCCTCAGGGTAGCATTTTCAAAAAGAATATATCACAGAAGACAGTATCCCAAAATCACTCTCTGATAAAGAACCAAGTTATAGACGCTAATTAACTACAAATAGGAAAATAAAGTTTGACTACACCCACAATGAAGCTGTAAGAAAATTCATGGTTAGGTCAAGAGGTTTTTTGCCTCAGCAGTGCATAAGACAAGACACATTATTCCTTTCGATTGCTTACCCTCTCTCCAACAGGACCTGGTGGACCTACTGACCCTGGATCACCCCGAGGACCTCTTTTCCCTTCTTCACCTATAGGGCCAATGGGACCCTGGGGACCTTGTGGGCCCTAGTGAAAGTAAAATGTTTTTTTAAAAAATTAAGCTCACCATTTCTCAGGTATGTTGAAACAGACTGTCTTCTAAAAATCATAAACATTTTTCCAAATAAAGGAGAAAAAATATAGTTTTACAATGTTTACAAGCTGCTATTTCAGTAAGAAATGCACTGTGAATCAACCGTAAACTACAGTTTGGCTGTACAGTGCTTCTTATAATCACCTGTTTGCTCAGATACAACAGTTTTTATTTATTATTAATTGGACAAGCTGCAAAGGATTCAAAATTCAGTGACACTCTTGTAGAAATTCTCAAAGAAAGGAGAAGACGGTCAGTGGTATGGAAACCATTACTTCATCTATACAGTTTTGTCAGTTACTATGTGATCATTTAACTAGTGAGAAAGAAAAACTAAAGATTGTTTGACAAGTCAAACTAACTCCAACTCTGCAGAATCACTCTTCTTCCAAAATTCACATGGTTACAACATGGAATTAGCCGTATTCTCAAATAATCTTTCACAAACATTAGCTGTGGGCTAAACACCTATTCATACCACACAGGTATAAATATTCATATTAATGTATAAATAAAATACAATAACTGCATAAGTATAAAAATGTATTAAATGTAAGCTTAGAATAAAAAGGACTTTTTAAATTATGATTAGCACACAGACTTGTGTGCTCTGAAATGTCCAGAAGCATATGGATCTATTTCTTATGAGAGGAAGAATTTAGAATAAACTAATTTTGCTTGCAACAGAAACCTCAGTAGATGCACTAACTGGTTGCTCCATCTTTGAGCCCTGTAAGGTCCATCCTGGCTAGGTGATTTATAACATCAAAGGACCTGCTTCACCGTTCATTCCTAGTACCATCTAGACAGGTTCACCGTGGTTTTTCTTCCATAATAATTACTCAAAAAATAAATGTAATCTTCTCATGATTACAAGCATCAGAACTGTCTTGAAAATTGTAGGGATCTGTTCAAAACACACATACAAGCCTTTGTGATTCCTTTTCATCTTTCAAAGCATATAGAGACTTACAGGTTCACCTTTGGGTCCTGCTTCTCCCTTGAAACCCGGGACACCAGGGTCACCCTGAAAACAAACATGAGGTTGAAACTCTGCACAAATCATTCAACCATTTTGGATTACGCTAGGAAACAAATAAACATTCCCTAGTTTAGTAACTAGTTGTAGTTAATATTATAGGGCCCTTACAATCATTTGTCTTTCTCCTTGGTGCGATTGTTTATTATGACATTATCAAGACAAAAAATTAAACGAGACAATTTCACAAGATAATTGTTACTATTTGTCCACGTTTATATAGACACTCTTCTTTCTTAGATCCCTAAGAAAGCAAAACCAGTATTTTGGACACACAGAAGATTCACAGGATACAAGTCTAGACATACTCACTAGCATGTTATTAATTTATTTAAAGGACCCTCACCGCTAATCACTGTTCTAGTTTCATAGCATGACACATTTGTTAGACATCATAATTTCCTTCCACAGAGACAAAGACATTATTACCGGCTGCCCTCGGATACCAGGTGGGCCAGTACTGCCTTGTGGTCCCGGGGAACCAGGTGGACCTGGTAAGCCAGGTGGGCCTCCAGTGCCTGGAGATCCCTATAAATAGAAATAACAGCAAGCACAGTAAGGAAAAATAACTAAAATAAGGAAATAAAATAAATCCACTTCCACAATTTCTTCAACAGGTGATATGATCACTTACAGTTGGGCCCTTAGCACCTGGGGAACCATCCGTCCCTTCGGCGCCCTAGAAATAATGTATCAATCATTAAAACTAATTTTAAAGAGGAGGGTATCAACAACGAAAGCAGATTATTATAGTTATTTTATCTACTTTACAAGAGCAGACAATAAAGGCAATTAAATATGCACAGCTATGTAAGATTTACTTGTGCAAATGCTAATACGAGTAACACAGTGTGCAAATTAAGTGTGACTTTGAATCTTTAAGACTCTATGTTTAAGCTTGAGCTTTGAAGTACTCGCAGGACTGAGACTGTATCAGCTGTGTAACTTTCAGTTTTACAAGTTGTATTAATTAAATAATGAAAAGTTATTTTCAACAACATAAGAGCAAAACAAATTAATGATACCTTTGATTTTCTGGGAAAAAAAAAGTAATTTGAGCAAAACTCAGTGCCCATCAAGTGGGGTAATAAAATCCCCTATAAACAGGCAACAAGCTCAGCACCAAAGAACTCCATTTAATGTACTCACAGGAAGACCTTGTGATCCAGCTGGGCCCTGTGGACCTGTTTCACCTCTTTGTCCTTGAGGACCTTCAGGACCACGAGGACCTGTTGGACCTGCTTCACCCTAAGATTTCACACAGGAAAACAACTGGAGATTATTTTGCTCTAAAAAGTAGCACTTCAAGGTAACTAAGGAGGAATACTGAGTTTATAAGTGAAAACCACATCAGGTTTTGAGATATTATTCTTAAAATATATTTTTGCTATTCTGCTTCTTCTACTTCTATGTGAATCTAAACTTTAAAATTACAAACAGAATTTTTCCTCAATGTACACAAGGAAACTCTCTACACAGAAGCAGCACTACATCCAGTGGCCCAAATCAGATCTAATATTTTAGATAGACATCTCTCTCTAAAATCCCAGCATGCATCTCTCTTTTTTTTTTAGCTTCATCAACAGCTAAGGCTTAAGATTTAGAAATGATAACGCATCTGGGCTTTTTTCTGCGCGGTACAGATTAACTCACTGTTTCAGCACTATAAAATCCCTGGAAGACTGGACTGGATGCTCCAATTAAAAAATTTGTCCTGGCATCTCCTTTGAATTTCATCTTTACATAGGAGATTTGCCTTTTGGAACTGATGGCTGTTAGTATCACATCTTCATAACTGAAGTCCACATCTTCATTGTGTAGTCTGCTTATCTTTTATGAGTTCAAAGCAGCTATTCAAATTTTACATAATCTGATGATCAAACTTGAAAGTAGCTCCTCCTTTCCAAAAACTTTAATTGACTTGTCATGTGACAGCTTCTCCAAACTTTTATTTAGGTATTAAATAGTGCTTAGCCACACCAAAACATTTAATTACAAGGACTAAAAGATCTATCATTTAATTGTACACATTATGTTAATACTCTTATTAAGACTTGTTTCCAAAAAACTGTTTTGTGAATGTTGCCAGCTTCACAACACAAAACATCTGCTGAACTTGGCTACCTGACTAATTGAGAGTTTCTTCTTGTATAATTTTTTCCTATCATATTTTAAAAGGGTAAAGGAACAAAGAGGAGCAAGTGGGTGGAAGGCAAGTATGAGGAGTATAAGGAAGCTATATGCGTTGTCTTTTCTATCCTTGCAGACATATTCTCAAAGCTAGGGGGGGGGGGGGAAACCAAACCTGAGCACTTTAATGAAAAACAAGAGAGGAAAGTCCCACAAAAACAGCATGGCAGGCAGTGATAAGCTGTCCATTTCAGCCCCATCACACAGAGCCACAGAAGTTGGTAATCATCATTTGCTCTGTTGTGATGAACTCAGGGACATCTTTGTTGGGGTTCAGGCATCTTCCTTACCAGTCTAGGTCATCTCAAAAGTTGTTCTTGGCTGAAACTGGAAGTTTCAGTGCTAGAAAGTACTGCTTCCACACTTAGACTAGTCCTTGCAACTTAGCTTGTAATAATGCATCTTGTTATCCTTTGAATAGGCTAGACAAGATTCTTGAGGCACAGCATGACAGTCGTCCTATAATTATCCCTTAGCTCAAGCAAAAGTGAAAGCAAAGAAAGTATCCTAACTGTGGTGAACTGCAATTGTTTCATTTGGCTTCTGATTTCTATCTTCTGTCTCAAGGTCTTGACTAAGATTGATTTCACAGCAACCCTTAGGAACCTGTAGATGTGTCAGTCTGAACTCTGTGTAGTCTAGCACACATTTTTTTAATTGTGTTGTTAGACATATTAAAAGGATATTTTTATTTTATTTTTTACCTTTACACCAGGGGCACCTGGAAAACCTGGAGAACCAGTTATGCCAAGTGGGCCCTATAAAAGAGAGACACACAAAGCTGTAATTCTGCAGTTTAGATCACATAGATTAGTGTCTAATCACTGGGTAAATATGGTTCTGGGACTAAATGTATTTTCTAGTCATAAAACATGTGTCCATAACAAAACCAAATAACTATATATATAATTTTTCTAAGTGATACACATATTTTATGGAATTGTGGTGCAGAATTTATGATAATAACGTATTTACTGACTTCAGCAAAGTTACAGCTCTTGATTCAGCTGTTAACACACAAATTGTAATGTACACAGTAGACAATTATTATAGTAATTGTTTTTAAATTTTAGTTTTGAACAAAATATTATCTCCTCTTTTTATATCTATACCACTGTGGTATGGGAATGAAAAGACCAGGTATTTGTTAAGCAATCACAATTTGTCCTATAGAATACAGCTAAGCAGAGTTTCAATACTTTTAAACTTAAAAGAGTAATCTAGAAAAAAAGAGACATACAAGCCACATCTACATCGAAACAACTGGGTTGCTAGACCAGATTTTTGAGGAAAGCAACATGACAAGTGAAAATGTCATTACAGGCTATGCAACTACATGCCCTGCTTCCTACTCTTTTGCCCCACTGGGATTCCCAAATTCACAGCCAAATTTATTTGCAAGTTTTAAAATACAGATTTTGTATCAAACTTTCAAGACTGTACAGACAAAGATGTACAGCAGAGACAGTTTACTGCTTGGATCTTTGTTCAGAGATGGGCAAGTATTTCTGGAAAAGGAAGCGGAGGAAAGGCTGGGTTATGCCACACCCAGAAACATCAATGTTGTGCAGAGGCAGACCTTCAGCTCCCAAAACCAGCTCAGCTCTTCTCAAATGGCATTTTATCTTGAGATAGTCCATGCTGCATCCAAGAAGGGCTGGCAGGTTGACCAAACTGTAGTACTGATGTAGCTAGACCATTTCTGGTTCTAGAGTCAAATTCTCAGTGTATTGCCCTGCAGAGTGTAGGTGAACCTCATGTGGCTGCCAGGACATGAAGTTTGGGCAGGGATGCAAACAGCCGGGGCTGCACTACATGGCAGTGTGTCCAAACTCACTAGAAAGCAAACTTCCACGTGTATGCACTTGAATATACCTGTGTGGTACGACACAAACCTTGTTTTGCTAAACAGAAAGACTTCCAATTAAGGGCTTTAGAGTAGAACTGTAGAGAGTTTCAATTTTCATAACGCCTCCTGGGCTGAACAAGACATTCAGCAGAAGACCTTTCTACTGTGTTATAAACTCTCTGGATGGCGGCACACCGTGGTTATAAATATTCACTACAATGCTGTTCCCAGATGATTCCTCTTTATCTTTTCCTGGTTTTCTCTCTTTTTGTAAAATATGATGCATACTGTGAAAAAATGTTCTATGTAATGAACCTCTGCTGACAAACAGAACAATCTGTCCCAATGAGTATTAACTACAGACATTTCTGCCATGACCTTGCACCAGATTTCTACAGAACTCATCTAATAGCTTACTAAGTATATTTTTGAAAACCCGTGTCCCAATTTATTGGAACACAAATACTTGTCTGCCAGATCTCTCTCTTGTTGCAGGAATAATTCCAGAATTACAGTATACCACTGCACTGACCCAAATAATAATACATTTCGTTAACACTTCCTCTAATGAGAAACATATGCATTAAGCACCACTATCTCCCTTGTGACACTATATGGGATTTTACCAAGAAAGTTAGCCAACCAGTTATCACGTCCAGTGTAGCTGAGCTCATATAATTATGCCAAATAAAATTTCCAAGCTGCAAGTAGAATTTTGTAGCTCGGGACCCAGCTTTAAAAAAAAAAAAAAAAAAAAAATAAAAAAAATCATAATTTGCTTACAATACTAAAAAAATCTTTTGTTTCAAAGTTTCTTCTAAGAAGTTACCCTTCTTTCATGATACACTAAATAATAGAGGTTTGCAGCTTTTAGACACCTACGCTCATTTCTGAGCTTCTATTACAGCTAAGGATTTCTTAACAAACTTTGTAATTACACAGTCTGTTCATTAAGCTGACACAGGTAAATGAATATTTCTCAAGACATATCACCATTAAACAAAGAAAATGTACAAAATGAAATTTCAATTGCGGGCAGGTGTAGGTTAGGGTTTTGAAGGGGGTTTTTTGGTGTGGTGGGTTTGGTTTTTTGCTATTAAAAAAAAAAAAGTTGAATATCATAAAGCCCTAAAGGTTCATGTTGACTGCATCAACAGTCAGAAACTGTCAATCACATCCCAGAATTAACACTTTTTAAAAAAAGGGGGTAAAAAAAATTAATTCCATGCTTTTAAGGTGCAAGCTGGCCTTGTACAAATAGTACTAAATCATCACAAGCTTTCATTCACAAAAGCAACACACAACCATATGTCTGTGAATAATCTCACTGGCTTCCTAGTACATTCACTCATGTAAATTGACTCAAATGCATTTTGCAAACGCACTGTGAGGTTGGATCCCAGGACTGAAAGCATCACTCTTTGATACACCAACATCCACAGTTTAAACTGACAGAGTCATCTTCAGCCCTGTTGCAATTGTGTGAAAACTACTCCAGTCACGCATATCAGGTTTTCTCAGCTTGGCAGACATTCACACATAGGCTTCTGATTCTTCAGTTCAACACATAACTGTCCGTAATTAAAAGGGTATCTTTTATGTGTTTTGTAATGGATCAACGGCAGATAGCAAGTTCTGCTACCACTGAGCAGTATTTCTTCTTGCTGAAAATGGGTGCAACCTCATTTGTCAACTTCATATGTGAAGGAAGATAATAAGCAATTATAAGCTGTTTTATATTACAGTGGATATCTTAACTTACAGATAATTCCAGGTGCACTTACTCTTACCAGCAACTGACAACAGTTTTTTTGTGCTTCTTTTGGTGGTGTAAAAAAGGCAAGCGGCAAACACAAGGTGAAAAAAATGGGTGATAAAGAAAGAAACCTACCATTGGTCCTGGCTTCCCAGGCATACCGTGCTGGCCACGTCCACCCTAGATATAAAAATAGACAAGACAGAATATTTATAAGAACTTTATTTTTAAATTATTATTTATCATTAGCATTTGTGATAACAGCCACACATACTAAAGTGATCAAAGAAACGCTGGAATGCAGAGCCCTCTGAACACTGGCATGGAAAACTTCTGGAAGAAATTATGCTCCCCCTCAAGTACATAGATTTCTCTATTTTCAGAGAGGCCAGTATTTTGACAGTGTAATTGTATGGAGCATATAACATAAATGGAGCACATTAAAGTCATAAGGAGATACGCCAGAAAAAACAACACTTGACACTGGACACAAAGCAACAGAAAGAAATTTCTACTCAAATATGATGTCATGTTAAGGCCAATCCCTCTTTTTGCTGAAAAGCAAAATGATTTTTAAGAAGACAGCTTTATTACCTGAAATTAAATTATAAGACTTAATTTAAATTAAATGTCTATATTTAAATTTAAAACTTTTTTTCCAGACGAAACCAATACATATTATTTCTAGTTCAGTAACTTTGGATGAAAATAGTCTCTCAAGAGAAATTTCACAGAAACAAAAGAAAAAATTTTTGTATCACAGAAAAAAGTGTTGTGGGGGTATTTGGCCTCGTGGGCAGCTCTGGTGTAAGAAATTGCCACACAGCTAGCATTCTCCATTTAAAAGAGGTTTTGACTTCTGAAATTTACAGTAAAGGTCTCACCGCACAAAACTCTGCTCAGGCCCTAACTTTCTTAAGCTACAGAAGAACTCATCACGGAACTAACTAGCTGTCACATGAATAAATACTTCAGGCTGAGGGATTTAAATTTAAGTCAAACAAGGGAAGAATTACGACAAGAGAGAATGAAGATCCTACTTACAGGGGCACCCTGTGGTCCAATTCGACCTCTTTCTCCTGGCATTCCTCTAGGTCCCTTGAAAAGAGAAAAAAATGTCATTTTTAGGAGCTCATAATGGCAGAATAAAAAAAGAGGGTCACATAGTTCACTTGACTTTTCTCCCCATAGTGGAGAGAACACATGCCATCCTTTTTTTTTTCTTATTTTTCTTTTTTTTTCTTATTTTTCTTTGCTTTTTACTTTTTTTTTTTAAAAAAAAACATTCTTGACTTTTCCCTTGTTTCAAATAATTTTTGCGCTGCATCGCTCTTCGGCAATTTCCTGTTCAGTCTTCTTTATTTGCTTTTAACAAGAACATGATTAGATACACTGAGACTACAAGCATGATAAGGACAGAAGATGTGAACAACAGTTACAAAACCAAGCCAATTTCTTTTTTGTCCTGCAGGTGTAGCTGATCTTGTCCCACAACAGGAAAGAAGTAGCAGCTTACATAACTCCTTGCAGCCTCACCAGCCTGTCAGGCTTGTCCAGTGGAAATTTAATAAACTGTAATTTCTCTTTTCCTGTTCCAGCAATATTTCTAGTTTTAAACACATCAGAATAAATTCTGTATATACTCATGAGGGCAATAAAGCGATCTCGTTTACTATGGCTCAGTCACAAACTAGGTTCCGCTTCAGGGCTATTACATTCTGCATGACACAAGATAGTGCTTCGCAGAGAGATGTCATCATCTGATACTAGAAAGGTGCTTTACTTCCAGAAGCACTGCCGAGAGTTGATTTTTGGCATGTTACACTAACAAGTATTCAGTTGTCCAAAACCACATCTGAATGAAAACTACTCTGAGAAAAAGTTTCTCAGTTTTCGTTTCCATGTCATGCATGCTGTCCTCATCATGACCTCCAAAATCCGTGGTTTTCTTAGCTAGTGCATTTCTGACCTAAATGATTCCACTTCTATCTCAGAGAAACCTAATCTAGTTTTTCTCATAATTAAGTCACTCCATATGAAGCACCAACATGTGAAAAAAATTTAGTCACCCTACGCTTACATGAGTAGGTAAACAATCACACAACCTACATTCAAGTTTCTGTTGAGCCTTCTGATTTATCGTTATTATCTGTCTGTGAATCACGAAGAGTAACAGCTTATAGACCAAATTTACTGTTAGCATAATAGAAAACAAAGTCTCCATTAAAACAAAGTTCAGCTTCATGACACCAAGTACAGATGTCAAAACCTTAAAATTCCTACTGAAACAGCATTCACAATCTTAAAGCCACTCTGTAATATCCAATTGCACATGACACTCACTACAGGACCTGTTGGACCCATGGCACCTGTTGGTCCGGATTCTCCCTAGAAATGGAAATGAAATGGCACAATTAGAGGAAACGGGTTAGAGGTGAAGTTATATGTTTCATCCCTCTCCTCCGTGCTTACGTTAGACCGAAGAGGCACATTTGCAGAGTCACCTGTGTGCATCACACATGCCAAGGGCACCATTCCCCATGCTGAGGGGAAATGCCATATTTACACATTCTCAGCAAAGCAGATTTAACTCCTACCTGCTCTAGCTAACTGCCCACATCACCCACCACACTGTTTCTACCAAGTCTTCTGCTGTTGTTGCCTCCATAGAAAGTGGTAGGCAATCTCAGGAAACAAATCTTTTCTTACAGAAACTCTTCTTAACTACTGATTTCACATTTAAATTTATATTTTGGAAGATTCACTTCATTTACTATGTTCTAATCTAAAGGAATAGTTCTGTCCCACCTATGATTATCGACTACACCAGGCCAAAAAAATTTCAGCATAAGCACTGATCAATATGGAAAAGCCTGAAAAATAAGTTTCTATTCCCTTTTAGAATAACTGTTAATCCATCTTAAAAGGATTGACTCCACTTGACTATCCTTTGTTACCACTGCTGTGAGCTGAAGCTGTGGGTGTTGAAGGGTGCTGCAGTACCAGCGAGGGTCAAACATTTTAAGATAATTATAAATAAATTAATAATTAATAAAGAATGGACAACTCCATGCAGCCTCTCCACTCCATAAAAGTAGCACTGACAGAAGAGGGTATAAAGCTGTATTCAAAAGATCTATCATCTTTCATTATTTTGGTATTACAGAAAAACATGCTTAAGCATTTAGTTCTTTGGGCCATGAAAATACCTTTGCTCCTGCTGCTCCAATTTCACCTTTTGGACCATCAAGTCCTTTCAATCCCTGTAAGAGTTATAAAAATATGGAGAAATTATATTTATATATTTGTACACACACAGAACATTCCTACTCTTATTGTTAAAATAACTTGATACTAAAGTGTTAAGAATGGATCTGAGGTGGCAAGAGAAAGAAAAGAAAAAAAGAAAGAAAAAAACCAGATGGAATAAAGTTTTTAAACATTTCCTAAATGGAAACCATTTGTACAAGGTACATTTCCTTGGATTTGGTTTCCTTTTTAAAACAAGAACATTTAAAAAAAAAATCCTAAAACAACAAGGAGGAGGCTCTGAGACATAGGAAACCTATTTATTTCTCCCTGAAGTAAAATTCTAGCCAGAAAACTTGGTAATTTGTAATCACTCCATGTTGCAAACATATCCACCTCTCAAGTTCCCCACCCTAATGCAAGACTTGCCAACAAAGTGAGTCAACACTCAGCTCCTGAAGCTTGGCAGGGCTCAGGTAAGGTCCTTCCAGATTCCCAGAACATTTGAAAATAGAGTGAAGAAAGCACCAGAGAATATAATAGAAAGGTCAGCTTAAAGGGGAACAGCATTGACTTTCTGCAAGGCCCTCTTTCTCTCGAATGCCAGTGATTGTGCTACAATTGGCAGGTCTAAAGTGTAGTAAATGCACTATAAATACAAAAAAAGATGTGTATCTTTCTAATGAAGCTACCTGGAGACATAATTTACAAGGAGAGGGGAAAACCTTGTTTCTTACCCTGTGACCCTTGAGACCTGGGAGACCAGGAGCACCAGGAAAGCCTCGAGGCCCCTAAGTAGGAAAAGGAAAAAACAAATAAAATCCTGATTTCTGCAGATAAACCTAGCGATAATGCTGCCAACGGCAACGAGGGTAGCAGCATTAACACTAACACTCCTAATGCTCCTTCACTTTGATGACATAATATAGTGAGGCATAGCATTTGAGCGGGTCACAGATGACACAGCGTAACATGCTATGAAGTTAGACAGTCTCAGCACTGTGCACGTTTTCACTCATATTAAAAGCTTTATCATTTACATCAGTGTATGATCAAATGTCAAATTTCAACAGAATTAATTTACACATATCATTTCTTTCTTTATGGTATCTCTCAACCAAAGTTCTCAAAAATATTATAGTTCATACCTTTTTAGCGTAGCAAAAAATCAGAAATACATTATAGAAAATTAAGCATCATGAAGCAACACTGGTATTCAAAGGAGCAAAAAAAACCCGTCTAAGATCTCAGCATTAGAGAGGAACACTTCACATATGGACAAGAAAGGTCTTGGTCTTCCCATAGTCAAATACATGGGTAATGTTTGATCATAATTTCAGTGGGAAATTACTCCAAGGTTTGCAAACTCCTAAAGGGAAAACTACTTTATAAAGGTATGAAATCTCTGAAATGAATAGACTAGACTGCTTCAAATTATTTACACCCAATGAGTTTCTCAGCGAAGAATTATCTCTGTTGTCATTCAAGACCTTGCATGTAAATTTGAAATTGTACAAATTACACTTGTTTAGACTGAAGATAGCCCATAAACCCCATGTATTTGGCCTGTGCTCAGTGGTATATCAGCTTATACAACCGGGACAATCAAATGATGAAGCACACACATGGGACAAGTCAAACGGGAAGGACGTAAATAATGTAGAAAGAGAAACAGCCACCAGCTATCTCCATAGCAGCGTATGGGCCTTCGCATTGATCACAACGTGGCACACTGCTCTAATAAATATCAGGGTAATCAGTACTGCTCTCTATGGTCCTACGCAACTGCAGCAAACCCTTAATGAGATTTGTGTGTGTGTGCAGTTGCAGAATTTCTTTCCTTCATTAGAAAGCCTCTTAAAATATGATTTTACAAAGCAAAACAGCTTGATCTGAACAGAACAATATTCCATAGACTCCATGAGCCTCAAGCAGATTATGAAACATTGTCTTTGATTCATAAAACTTAGGAAGAAATCTTAGGAAACACCACTGCCTTGTTAAAAAATAATTTCTCTCCAAGACATTGTATCTCCAGTTGCTAATAAAATTGCCAGACAAGAACTTCACACTTAAAAGAAAATGAGGCAGTTTAAGAGATGATGTGTATCAGGTTGCTTCAGTTCTGGGATTCATCTGTCACCTTTCCAACCACAGCTCCTTCCAGGTACAGAAACTTGATTAACGATCGTAGAACTCTTAATATGGGCCAAAATTACATAAGATAATAAAATAATGTTATTTTATCATCAAAGATACCTGTTTTATTTCTAGAGTGAACCATGACAAGTATCCTCTGCGCTACAAGTAGATAGTATTTGGAAACCACTTAATCAAATATGCATACTGGATAAATATATTAAAATAAATCACATATGTTTATGATACAATCCCTGACTGTTTTAAAGGTAAACAGTGCCACCCCAGCCTGACATCATTTTATACTTTCTGAGCACTTCCTGCACAAGATTGTGAATGACCATGTGAAACAGTGGGAAATCAAGCACAACTTGGATGTACCGTCATCGATTCTATGGACATTTAATCCATGGGGGCTGAAATGGGCCCCCATGAAATTACTCCGAGGATTAACTCAAGGACTTATGAATCACCTGGTTGGTTTTGAGCTATCTCACTGATCTGGATCTGGTGAGGCCGCACCTTGAATCCTGGGGTCAGTTTTGGGCCCCTCACCACAAGAAGGACATTGAGTTGCTGGAGCAGGTCCAGAGAAGGGCAACAAAGCTGGTGAAGGGTCTGGAGCACAGGTCTTATGAGGAGCGGCTGAGGGAGCTGGGGTTGTTTAGTCTAGAGGAGAGGAGGCTGAGAGGAGACCTCGTCACTCTCTACAGCTACCTGAAAGGAGGATGTAGTGAGGTGAGTGCTGGCCTCTTCTCTAAAGTAACAAGTGATAGGACAAGAGGAAATGGCCTCAAATTGCGCCAGGGGCGGGTTTAGGCTGGATATTAGAAAAAATTTCTTCACTGAAAGAGTGGTCAGACACTGGAACAGGCTGCCCAGGGAAGTGGTGGAGTCACCATCCCTGGAGGTGTTCAAGAAATGTGTAGATGTGGTCCTTAGGGACATGGTTTAGTGAGTTAGGTGGTGTTGGGTTGACAGTTGGACTTGACGATCCTTGAGGTCTTTTCCAACCTTAATGACTCTATGATTCATTAAAGTAAGCCAACACGAGTATTTCAGAAATTGAATAGCAAAGCTTTACACTCATTAGTAAAAGAGATAGTGATGACATTAAGTATGATTATTTTGCTAAAATGTAAATAACCATGGTCTTACTGGAGATCCCGGAAATCCAGGCTCACCAGTTTGTCCTGGTCTACCAGGTTCACCCTAAGGAAATAAAAAAAAAAGAACATATGAAAATAGAAATGTGAAAATTAGCTTATCATTCTTCCATTCAAACAAATAAGGACATTCACATCAGGATTATAAAGCTTCTCTTTACTGCGTCAGTTTCAGTGATATAAATCAACTGCACATATGACTAGCAATGTGCATTTGACACATTAACTTTTAAAAAAGTTTTAACAAAGAATTGCGGAAACTGAAGACTGAGTCCAAAGTGTACATCAGCATCACAAGATGGCGCTGCAATGCAGTTTCCCTGTGATTTAATGAAGCAACTTTTTATCATCCTCATGCAGCGAGTCAAATTACTGAAATTTTCCATAGGAAGAGCAATCTAAAACTGCCTGCATTGTAGCTTATTACTTCTCCTTCTGTTAAAATGCTTTAAAATGTGTATGATTCCATTCCAGATCGGTGACCATTTTCTGTGTGATGCAATAGGAAAGAAAATATGGTAGAACCAAATAAGCATAGTTTGAAGATCATTCGGAGTCCTCCAGAGTCACAGCCAACCATTCCTTTGTATCCAACACTCAGTTCAAATACATTCAGGCCTCTGGGCTACAGGAATATGAAAGGCTTCAAAAAAAATAGTTTCTGGACAGAGAGAAGGTAAAGTGCTTCACAAATGCAATTTAAAAAAAATCCATACATACACTGGAAATGGAGGAAGTTCTCGGAGCAGTATCAAGATTTAGCTTCACTGCACCGCAAGTTAACTGTTTCTAAAGATTTTTATAACTCCTTGTATAGTTTAATGGGAAAGTAGCTGTTACACAAGCTATGGTAAATTTGTACTAAAATATCCAGAATCTGCAGTTCTGAACTCATTTTCAAGTTATAAATTACAATTCAGGTGGATTTAGTCTTCTTTGCAAACAAATAATATACATCTATTGGTAAATCCTGAGGCTATTGTTGTGCAGTATGTATATACTTATACATGTATCATACATACATCTTACGTATATGCATGACTCCATGGATGGAGTCATAAAATCAGTTATGAATATAATAAATTATTAAGAAGTTAAAAAAAATTTAAATACTAAAATTTTATTGTCCAGATCCTTGTGTATGTTATCATTAGAGTTCTTCTAACTTGTCATGCGATCCCAAAGAGACGCGACGCCGCCAACTGCCCCCTCCTAACTGTGGTGTATTATGATGTTTGATTTCAAGAAACACATCTCAATTGAAGAACTGGCTAAGTCAATAAATAATAAAGAGCCAGTGCTTAAACCTTAGGTATGATGGTGACATGTAAGGAAAAGAAAAGGAGGGTTTTGGAAAGGGTTGCTAAGATTTATAGTTAGGACACTGCAGTTAATGAAGAGTATGATTACAAAAAAAAAAGTAAATAGATAAAAGTAGTTACAACAGGCACATCTGCTGGTTAGTCACTGTCTCAAAGATGCCAATATTTGTTTTATTAAAAATAAAACATGATACGAAGAATAACAAACTTACATCTTCACCAGGTTTGCCTGGAGGTCCCTCAGGTCCACGAGAACCAACTGGACCCTAAGAAATAAATGTATTTGTTGAGAATTCCATTTAGCCATCACAAAAATATCTATTTGCTCCATTTCAAAGTCTGGTTTTATAAAAACTGATGTAGAAAGAGGATGATTTTATGCCTAAGCTCACTTGCTTAATTTTGTGGTACTCTTTTTAACCATCCCACCCCTAAACATGTATTACGTTATAAAGAAATATAGGATGGATTCTTTAGGAGAAAAATAATACATTAAGAATCACAGCTGCTGTTGTTCCAAATCTCTGGCTCTTGCTTTTACTTTTGAATCATTTTATCAACTCCAAAAATTAAACATTTTGTGTAAGTTGCACTACCAGGTATAGTTTTACCAGTGCTTAACCATCCTGATGTCTGTGCTGGAAAAGTAATAGCGATTGTTTATCCTATAATCATTATTATGCACGTTCAAAACAATTCAAATTCACTGATTCAGGACAACGTGCTTTAAACACCACAACTCTTGATTGAAGATACTTAACAGCTTCAGCTGAGACAACATGAAAAAAAAAAATCTATTCTGAAGTGAGGAAGTATAGTATATTGTTTGCAATTTTATTGTAGAAATGTTTGTGTTTATTTGTCTTACCATAGGTCCTGGATCCCCAGGTTCACCAGGGGGGCCTGCCGGGCCAGCACCACCCTAAAATTAACCAAAGATAAATACAGTTACAAATTCCAAAAAGTAAAACTATAAGGATACAAATTAAAATCCATGATCAAGGAAATCACAGCCCCTGGGACAGTCTGGATTCTAATTCAGAACCAGCTCACACTCCAAAGTGAGTGAAAGTTGAATATTAAAACCCCTCAAGCCTTAGGCAAGTCCTGTGCCATACACAAATCCCACTGGACACTTAACACCATGCCAATACTCAAAACAGAATAGTCACCACGTTCACTGCTGTTCCCTCATAAAAATGTGCGGGGTTAAAACTTCGTTAAAGGTCTAATAAATTGTTCTTTTTGAGTTAATTTCTGTGGATAGAGTACATCTGGAGTGGAGCTCCTGAGAGCAGCATGTTTAGCTTCACCTCCAGATGAAGATGCATTTGTCCATGTGTCACTTGAAGATGGTCGTTGCCTCAAAGATACACACACACACATCAGCTATTATGTGTTTGCTTTCATCTCTGGCCAATTATCTTAAATCCCCTGAGGTGCAGCACTTACTTGTTTTCCTTGGAGACCTTGAGGACCTCTTGGACCCACTGGACCCTATCAAAAACATCACTTGTTACACACTGGAAAACGCCCTTCCCCAAGTAATAGTCACCCTACAAAGACAGCAAAATGGCCTGATAGTGACCTCCAAGATAACATTTATATGGTCAAACCCTCTAAAAGTCTTTTACTCAGGAGACTGACATTATGAAATACAAAAGTACATAGAACTGAAATCTTCAAACTCAAAAAGCCACAGCAGTGCAAATTCATTAGCAGCTGAAAATATGGGCTTGTTTGATTTCTTGAACCTCACAGTCTCTGGAAGCAGTCAGAGTAGCTTGGTTGGCTGCATAGCTCCACTGGAAAAAAATGTAAGAACAGAATAGAGTTGGGGGGAATAGTCTTCCCTTGAAGGAAATCTCATTACTCAGATTAATCTCATCATGGAAACGATGACAAAATACATTCATGCTGCTGTTCTCAGCCATAAGCAACAACAAGCAGCAATGGATGGGCGTATTTTCATGCATCATACAAACCACCAAAACAGCTTCCAAATGGCTGTGGTTTGTAACAGAAAATTCAGATTTCCCCTTAAAAAGTTTCATGGGATTTTTAGGAAAAATCTCATGCTTAATAGTAACTTCTACCATGAAGTACACATAATCTTGTCTGAAAGCAATTCTGTTGCTTATAGCAATACAAAAAAACTATAGCTGACAGTAATTTACACTTGGACAGAAGCTCAGGATTCATTGATGTTTACTAATATTTACAAAGCAAACGTAGAAGAGTTAGTAATAGGCCATTGCATTGGGTTTGTGTGGCAGGGTTTTGGTAGCAGGGACAGGGTCTACAGGAGTGTCTCCTGTAAGAAGTTTCTAGAAGCTTCCCTGGCTCCAACTTGAACCCACCTCTGGCCAAGGCCAAGCCAGCTGTCAAGAGTGGGAACACCTCTGTGTGAACATATTTAAGGGGGGGGGGAAAAAACCACCCCCCCAAGTGGAAGTGGAGAGAGGGATGTGAGGGAAACAACTCCGCAGACACCAAGGTCAGTGAAGAAAGGAGGGGGAGGAGGTGTGCAGGAGCAGAGGTTCCCCTGCAGCCCATGGTGAGATGGCAGCTCTCCCCCTGCAGCCATGGAGGGTAACGGTGGAGCAGAGATCCTCCTGCAGCCATGGAGGGTAACAGTGGAGCAGAGATCCTCCTGCAGCCATGGAGGGTAACAGTGGAGCAGAGATCCTCCTGCAGTGAAGAACTGCAGCCCGTGGGAAGGACTCACACCGGAGAAGTTCATGGAGAACTGTCTTCTGTGAGAGGGACCCCATCCTGGAGCAGGGGAAGACTGGGAGGAGTCCTCCCCCGGAGGAGGAAGGAGTGGCTGAGACAACGTGTGATGAACTGACTGCAATCCCCTTTCCTGTCCCCCTCTGCAGCTGCAGGGGAGGACGTAGAGAAATTGAGAGTGAAGTTGAGCCCAGGAAGAAGGGAGGGGTGGGAAGAAGGTGTTTTTAAGATTGGGTTTTGTTTCTCATTAAATTGATTTATTTTTTTCCCCAAGTCAAGTCTGTTTTGTGCATGACCATAACTGGAAAGAGATCTCTCCCTGTTCTTGTCTCAGCCCACGAGGTTTTACTTTTTGTCTTCCAATTCTAACCCCCCTCCCACCACGGTGGGGAGAAGTGAGCAAGCAGAAGTGTGGTGCTTATGGCTGGCTGGGCCTAAACCATGATAGCCGTTTAAAAAAATCCCATCAACATTAAAAAACAAAACAAAAACAATGGTTCAGCTGAATGACTGTCAGTTACTCAGTTTCCAAGGAAAGGAGAAAAAGATATCACAGAACATGATGAATCAATCCAAAGACAGTGAGTGTCAACTGACTTTAGTAGACCTTGTGTAAGGCCTTGGAGAGATGTAGATATTGAAAAAGACCTTAAAAAACATATTAAAATGAATCATATTTGAGAATGGCAAAAGAAGAGGCAGTACAAGAGATGCAATGTCTCAAGACAAATCGAGTGCAAGGATTAAGCAAAACAATGGAGGGCAACAAAGGAGGACACACTTGTGGAACAAGTTATACGCGAGCACAGCAAATTCACTAAAGAGAGACATTGATAAAAAAGGAAAGTTCTTTGAAGAAATCACTGCAGAAGTTAATCTTAAGGAAAAACACCAGATTATCTTTAGAACCTTTCAAACTATATTGAAACTGAGTTTGAAGGTTACTGGTGGTGACTTGGAGGGACAAGATTCAGGTAGGCAAACTCATACACAGTACAATCACTCAGAGTTTCCTTAAGAATGAATGTTAAAAATAACAGCAAGGAAGGTAACAGTGTCTTCAAGATACTACAATGTGATAAACACATGTAATGAAAAGACGTAATATTCAAAAACAGCCCCAGAAGTTCTTGCAGAGACAGCTTAGGATGGTGAAACAGCTTTCATAGCTGGTAAAAAATTTCAGTGTTACCACTAAGTCTCCACTGCTCTAAAAGCAAAGGGCATTATCTACACAGTGAGAGATGCCAACGATAAAACTCGACCCACTAGAGAAACAATGACTGTCTCAAAATAATAAAGCACTGCTTTCAGTTGATGGCTGGTTTCAGAAATAATTTTTTAAATTACTACAAAAAATAACTATCTTTGATGTCACAATGTGAAAAGAAGCCTTCAAAGTTATGTATTTGTTTGTTCTGCTTTGCGTTATACCTGACACTTTTCAGTTACTCTGCAGTGACTCAACATATGAGAAAATCAGGAGCTGTTTGGTTTTTTGTTGGTTTTTTTTTTTCTTTTTTCTGAATCTTGCTGTTAGTAGTTGGTCTATTTCGGAAGAAGGGAAGGAAGTCAACAAGGCAGCTAGAGGTGGGGGAAAAAAAGCTTTCACTTTAACAGAATAATATTTTTTCACTTTTTTCCAAGTACTTTGCTAGAACATAATGTACAGCCAGGTTCTAGAGGCATAGGAAGTTGAAGAGGATGAATTCCCCTTTGAGTTTTTTGCATATGCACTCCACTTCCACCCTGTTCTACAGTACAGGGCTAATCTGGTCTTACCACTGCACCAGGCATCAGTCCCATCTGACTACCAAGTCCAGACTTCTCATCCAGTCCTGCCATCTGAGCTGAAAATGGCTGAAAAAGTAAGAGGAGTGATTTTAGCTCTCAGTCATTTTGATGGTTCATAAGGCAAAAATACATGTAACTGCATCTTCATTATTTACATTGTCTTTGCAGTGCTAACTAAATTATTGTTTCAATCATTAAAATAAAAGTTGTCTTTCCTGTAAATTTGAGGTGGTTTAAGGCTTCAAAGACCAGACAAATGCATCATGTTGTCTACTTATTATGCTGGCTCTACCTCCACCTTAATATTAAGCAAATGGGAAAATTACCTAAAAAGAGGAAAGCTTCCCATGGAATTAATTAGATTTTTTCACCACCTTCAAATTCAAATCACATTTTAACTTCACCTGCAATATTCCTTCATGTCTTCTAAGCCTTTCTTTTGTTTTCACTTACTGCATTTCTGATTCAGAAATATCTTAAGGTAAACGGAAACATAGATGATTTTATGATTGCAAATTTTTAATTGTGTTGCCCTTATCTAGCACAGTTCAAGGCCATTGCTGTTCATGCCAATTCTCAGAGACAAATCAGTTAGATCAAGGAGAACCTTCAGTGTCCTCCTTCTGCAAGCACATAGTGGAAATCAACAGTTTTCTTTTGCTTCATTCAGAGCCAAAACGTCACTCCTGGCAGGCTCCTGAGAAGGAGCAACAGCACAAATTCAAGTCTTCTGAGATTTACAGTTTGTTCCACATCAGATTGGTCCCCAAACACATTTTCCACAATGCTGGAGATTGCCTAACCTTAGAGACAGGAATACAAATCAAAAATGTCTTAGATCTCTAGCCACTCTTATTCTTTCAAATTTTCTGTTGAACTCTATTAAGGATGGTGGTCTAACACCCATCCTGGTGGTTCTGGGACTCTTAGGGATTCATCTGTGTTTAAGATATTTACTTGGGCTGAATCCGCTAGATGCAGGACTACTTGGAAAGGTGGTTAAGTCAAGAAATGCTGCCCAAACTTGCAAGCTGTTGGCCTAACATGAACATTCCAGCTTATTGTCAGTATAACTCTATTGTTTTCAGTAACATTGCAGGAACAATGGAGTGAGAAATCAAAACAGATATCTTCCAAAGAGCAATAAATGTGTAACTGAATATACTTGAGAAATTCAGATATGCATTTCACGATCAATCATAATTAGTGTTCCATAGAATATGGTGGGACCGGAGAGGGGAATCTTGCAGAACATCTTGTCTGTATCTATGGCTGTTTAGCACTGCTTTTCACAAAAAATTCCTTATTTAATCTTTTTTCCAGCAAGAAGCATACTTAACCACATTTTAATTTCTCTTATTAGTTAGTCTGTTATTTATCATTCATATTATTTTCTTCTTTTCTGTATTCCTAATTTGGTACAGCAGCTTCCCTGTGCTATTGCCCAGATCCCTTGGGTTTAAGTCATGTGGAAGCAACAGAACCCCATGGAGGGTGTTAGATGGCTTTTCTAGATGCTGAAACCCATTGTGAAAGGTGTGTCCCTTCCGAGGTTTCTCACATTCAGCTTGCCCCAATTTATGGCAGAAATTGCACTGCCGCTAGCCGCTGTCCCTCACGACTGGGAGAAAGGAACTGTAGGCACAGGGTTCCACATTCACTGAAGCAAAGAGAAGTTACTCTTTGTATCGTGGATCTGGCCCAACACTCACTTTACTTTCTACTAAAGCAAGTGTAAAACTTACCCTGCTTAGTCCATCTGGTCCTGGGTGGGCAGGATGCCCTGGAGGACCAGGGTCACCAGGCTGGCCAGGAATACCAGGTTCACCATCAATCCCTTGAGGACCACGAGGACCCTAGAAAGAAAATCAGAAATAGCAACAGTGTGCAAAGGTATTTGTTAAAATCATTGTAACAGGCAAACAACAGCCTTGTGTGTGATAATCTGTATTTCTACAGAAAGATCTACAAAACAACATTCTCTCAAGACCTGTTGCTACCAGTCTTCCTATCATTCCATAGTAGAGTATACTACTCCTGAAAAACCATTTGGTTTTGGACACAATATGCAATATAATGAATTTACTTCTAAAATACATATAGCTCAGACTAGTGTACATACATACACATACTTAGGAAACTCCAGTGTAAGACTGGATTTTTACAGCCTCCTGACATCATAAATGGCTTAGACTGCTCATATTACTGCTGAATTCTCAACATAGTTACACTGCCAAAAATGCAGCCTAACTCCATTGGTGTCAATGTTATCTCTAGCTAGTATTTGCAGAATGGGCTGGGAGGCTATTCGATTGGTCCCATTTTGATCACTCACTTTTGATTCCTAAACTGCACTCATCTTGTGTCAGAATTAAAATTAAATACGGAAGCAGCTAATAAAACATTAGTGGGACAAAATCAACAGCAATAGGGCCAATAAAGATATACTTCAATCACAAACGTGGACTTTAAAGTGCTTGTCAGTACTGCTTCCTTCATTAGAATAAAAATGCTCAACCAGGGCGAGGAAAAATTTTATACTGTATAATGAGCTCTTCTACTTAAGGATCCTTGAACATAAAACGTTGGAAGACTGGCTTAATGAGTCATCTTTACAAATACATTATAATCAGACAGACTGCTTGTATTTCATAGAATGGCCTGGGTTGGAAAGGGCCATAGTGATCATCTAGTTTCAACCCCCCATTTTCCATGAGATGAGGACTGTGTTCCCTTGCAGTCTGTGACACATTTCAGTGGAATTTATGTCTGAACTAGGATGGTTTGGATTAGTATGGTTTGCACTTTAAAGAAAAAGCATTCCCTTGGGAAAGGGCCACACTGAGACTGACCATAAGATTCCTGAGAACTCCTAGTGAATGAGCTAATTCTCTTAATTCTCGATCTATCTTTATGGTCTGAAATTCCTATAAGCCCAGCAATCAGGGGAAAATGTTTTTCTTATCAGATGTGCATGTACACACAACCCCTACTTGCAGAATGAATTGTGAACAGTTGGTGTTCTGAAACAAATGGGAAGATTTGTGCATGTTGGATAGAAGCAGAAGGTTTTAGCAGAAAAGCTTATTATTTAATATTTCTATTATAAACAGAAGTATACACTGCCAAACCTAGAAGTGCATACTGTCCAAATGAGAAAAAGAATGAGCTAGCGTCTTTCCTTTGTTCTCAAAATAAAAAGAAAACAAAGCTAAGCATTAAACAAAAAAACAATTGTCTATAAAGAATTAAGCAAGCGTCTGTAAATTACTATATTTTCAATACCCAAGCCAAGACACCTTAACAAAATCTGATGTAGAAAAAGGTCTTTTTCTTTGTTTCTTTTAAGAAAAGGACCTACATTTTAGTCCCCCAAAATCAACCTGCTTCAAGAGTAATACCACAACCCCCCCACCCTGAAAACCCTGAAGTCTCTGAAAAGCAGGTTTTTATTTGTAGGTGGCAACTAACCAGTGGTATATAACCAATGTTCTGGGTTTTTGTAATAAAATCTTGATTATACATTTATTTTATCTTATTTATGTATTTTTATATATATATAT